GGGAGCCCGGGGGGCGGCCGGGGAGCCGGGCCCGGCCCCGCTGCGGAGCGGAGCCCGCCGAGCCGAGCCGAGCCGAGCCGCGCCTCCCTCCCGGGCCGGTCGGGCAGGCGGCGGCGCCCTCGCGGGGCGCCCAGATGTGGGGCTCGGGCAGCGCCCCCCGGTCACCCCCGCCCGGAGCCTGGCTGGAGGGGGGGCGTGCCCCCGGCACAGTGTCTAGGGCGGGGGGTGCTGGCTGGAGGGGGGGCCCTGTCCCCAACTCTGTGTCTAGGGCAGGGGGCGCTGGCTGGAGGGGGAGCTGCGCCCCAAGTCCCCCCGGCACTGTGTCTAGGGCAGGGGGTGCTGGGCTGGAGGGGGGCCCTGTCCCCAACTCTGTGTCTAGGGCAGGGGGTACTGGCTGGAGGAAGATGGCCATGCCCCCTGGGGTCCCTGGCCTAGGGCAGGGGCACTGGCTGGAAGGGGGTGCTTGTGCCCCCAGGGTCTCCGGCATGGTGCCTAGGGCAGGGAGCTCCGGCAGTCAGGCGGCTCTGAAGCAGGGGGTCAGGACTGCCAAGGGATACCCAGCAGTGCCAAGGGGTGGCTCGTCCTGTCCGGGCGTTAACCTAGGGGTGCCAGTGCCCTGCCTGAGGCAGGGGGAGAAGTGGGGAGCTGGGGCTGCCGATACCATAGGTGCTGCCCTGGTTGTTTTTACCTCCTTACCCCATGTGCCTCAAGTGAGAGACGCAGGCAAATGGGGCAGCAGGTTGGCCGACAACTGCCACAGAGCAAAGGAGAAGGCTGTGCCTCACACCCAGGCTGTGGTTTCAGATTCCCACGGGGAAGGAAGGCTGCAATGTCTGCTAACAGGGTGCCAGGGGCAGGGTCGTGACCCGCCTTGTGGCAAGCAGCCACACGCAGGCAGGTGGCTGCTGTAACCCTGCATTGTACCGGAGCATCTTCATGCCTGGGGCTGGGGGTGACGCTAGTGAATCCGTGTCATGCATTCCTCCCTCAGAGCTGTGGGTGCCTGCGACTAGCAGCTCACAAGACAGGTGTCAATCTGCTTTTCTGCAGTAGATGCAGGATGTTAACGGGGCCTTAATATAGGTCCTGCAGATGTAAATCAGAGGAAAACCCAGAAGAGAGTTCCTTTGAGCTGCTGTTCTTGAGGCTGGAGAGCTGTGAATGTGGCTGCCGTCAGCATATGTCTTGCTGAGGCCTATCATCCCATGCTTGGCTGGGCACTTCATGACACCAGCACAATAGAGACGTTTTGAAAAACAACCCTGGTGTTTCCAGCACTATGGTAACAGACAGCCTTCCCTGCCTCACCCCAACACTTGTTTATGGTGAGGAGGTTCCCTCCTCGCAGTGAGAACAGAAGATTCCTCGAATGCGGGGCCTGGGACAGCATAGCAAATGACAACAAAATGCTCTTTGCTCCATGGCGATCAGCTCCAGAACCCACCAAGGTTGAGACCATGCTTGGTGCAAAGGCCAGTCTGTTTGAAAACTGCCTATCGCTCCAGTAAGAATCCTTTAGTTTAACTTTCTGCAGCCTCTAATCCTGCCTTGATTCGTTATGTAACATCGTTGCTGTCGTAGACAGCAAAGCTACATTTTACGTGTGCAGCTTCCATGTAATTTTAAATTGATTGTCTCTATTTTGAACTGATTCTGCAGTTTATTATTAACTGATGCTGAAGCTTCTGGATCCCAGGCCACCAGGTGCCTTTAATTAATAGACTGAGACTCAGTATTAAGGTAAAGAACTTGCAGTTTCATTGAATGCATCCAGCCAAGCTGACTAAACCCTTGCAAATAGACCTGCCCTTTAGGCAGTGGTTCCTGTGTGGTCACCCCGCTTCAGTGGTCCCAAATCCTGTTCTGAAGTGGAAAGGGGGTTCTCCTGGCCTGCCAGTGGCACACATGCTTCTGAAGGCATTTCCTGCTGAGCAGGAAGCTCTGTTGGGGGTGTGGCTGAAGAGTTATCCTGGAGGGGCAGGGCTAGAGGTGACTTTTCTCTGTGGTGAGAGCGATGCCCATGGGTTCCGGTTTGGGTGGTGTCTGCACAGGGGTAGTGCATTGTGATAGCTGGAGCAGGCACTTGTACCAGTCCAGGGAGAGGTGTGTTTTTAATTCTATTGACCTTCCCCAGTTGATCAGACTGTGACAGTTAGTGGGCATGGGTGGGGATATGCTGCCAGTGGCACAAGGGTGCCAGGTGATCACCCTGTAGCAGTCAGATGGACACCTCCTCCCTTTGCCTCCTTTGGGATATTAACTTTATCAACCCATTTGTTAAGGGAAAGCTTTGCAGTCACCTTTAACCAGCAACTTCTGCAGATGTCACCTTGAAACATAACAAAAATGCTTTCAGTACAAATTCCTCCTCTGCCAAGTGCACCTGCTCACCACACACCCCAGGCAGCCCCTGAACACAATTACTGATTTAAGGCCAAGACCTGTGTTCAAGGAGTCAGTATTTGAAAGGGAGACAACAGGTGTCTGCTCCAGCCCATCACAATGCACAGTTCCTTTGCAGACACTACAGAGGTGCCATATGCACTTTGAGGAATTCCCATTAAAGCCCCTGGCTGCACACAGTGTGAAAACTGGGAAACAGAATGGGAGGAAGTTAGTTTTGCAAATGTAGTTGTTCTAAAAGTGCCTTTTTCTAGTTTGGTATAGAGCTGCCTCAGCCTTGTGCCCCAACCTGCCAGGACCACAGCAACAGCATCACTGGGCAGCCAAAGCACTTAGCCTGCTAGGCCATTTCACCAAGGGCTAAGCAGTTTGTGCCTTACATATAACTTGCTTTGGAACATAACAGCACAAACACCCTCCTGCTCCTCTGTACTGTCTCACCACTGCTGGTGCAAGAACCTTCTCCCCTGCAACTTTTGCCAGACTCTCTCTCTCCATCCACTTTAAAATATTTTCAGACAGCCCATCTCTCTCTATTTCTCATTATGTACCTCTGCTGGTAGCTATTACATTTGGTTGAAGCTTTTGGAGGATATAGTTTGTACAGAAAATACTATTACAAGATAAATCATCTCTGTATAGTTGAGTAAAGTTATCAGCCAGTTTATCCTCCAACTGCTTTATGGCATCTAAATGGCTAATTGCAGTGGATACACATGTCCATTCTCTGCTCCAGTAGTGCACTTCCTTTCCCACTAATAGGAGTTACATTTTTGACAACATCCACATATTTGAAAACCCCAGTTGTGCTTTTGCCTTCATTCCCTCCTCCCCTTCCTGCTCCAAGATTCCCAGGGAGAGAATTCAGAGCAAACCAATGCGATAGTCAGAGAAGCTCTGTCCTGTTAAAGGGAACACTTACACTCAGATCCACTTTGTAAATTCCCCATTCCATTTTTCTATCAGGTGCTTTCAAAAGACCCTTGACAAAAGTGCAGGAACAGAGCAGCCATCTGGACTGGAACTTTGTAGGTATTGACCTTTAAAAACATTGGTTCTTTGTTGGTTTGCCAAAATAATTCTCAGCTGCCCCTCTCCCTCGGTCTGATAGTATGAAGGGGCATAGCCTTCCATGAATGCACCTAGGCACCTTTTCAGCTTCCATTTACTGAACAGGGGCTGCAGCCCCCCAGGATGTTCAAAGGGCAGGGAACTGTGATTTGCTTTATAGGTGATCGGCCCCTTAAGCCAGTAACTGTGTTATGGTGGAGAGAGTTACTGAGTGGAAAAGCACCTTTTGCTTGGCGGAATGGTTGGACTTTGGGGGCAGTCTGGCACAGTGGGCCCTAGATTTGCCCTAACCCCAAAGTGCAGAGAACCCCAGGCCAGGATTATGTATATTGTGGCAACTCCCAGAGGCCCCAGTCAAGATCACTACCCCACAGTGTGGAGTGCTATGTAAAATACTGTGTATAAGACGACAGGTCCTGCCACAAAGAGCCTACAGTCTAATTAAAGACAATGCAACAAGTGAGTAACAGATAGAGGAAATGGGGAAGGAAGAATGGGAGTAAGAATAGATGGCGGCAGAGACGTGCTATGGGCGCACACAGCAGGATGGCTTCAGAGAAATTAAATGAAATTGAGATTTTTAAAATGATAAGATATAAACAAAATCGATCTCAAGTCTGATTACCAAGCAGGTGGGAATGAGGTTCCTATGACCCAGTTCTGATAGAACAAGAGCTGGTGTGAACCCTTGCTCAGGGTGCACAGCAAACCCAACACCTCGTTGGGACTTAGATAAGTTTGGTTAATTAGATGAAAAGAAAAAAAAAGAAAAGAAAAAAACCCTCCACTCCTCTCACACACCCACACTCATCAATTTATTCTTCTGC